TTCTTTCCTTTGGGGGTTTCTTTGTCTACCCATGTTTGATCTCACCAACATATCTAGTTGTTGAGTCATTCAGGGGCTGCTCCTTGCGTGGCAGTGGCTTCTCGGGTTGTGGTTGCTTCTCTGGCGGTTGTGGTAGCAGCTGTTCCTCAGTTGGCAGCAGCTCCTCTGGTGGGTGTTGTTCACAGCTGTGGTGGATCCTCTGGCTGGTGGGGGGAGGTTCACACACAGCAGCTGTTCCTCAGACAGAGGGTGTGCTGATCACAAGGCTGCTGTTCCTTGGATGGGGTCGGGCTACACACGCAGCTGCTACTCCTTGAACTGGGGCGGACTGCTCACATGGCTGCTGATCCTTGGATGGGGACTGGCTGCACGCTGCTGTTGTTCCTCTGATGTGGCGGGCTGCTTGTGAAGCTACTGCTCCTAGGACTTGGTCAGGTTGATTGCAAGTCTGCTGCTCCTCCGACGGGGGTGGGCTGCTTGCGAGGCTGCTACTCTTTGGACGAGATTGAGCTGAACGCGTGGCTGCTCCTCCTCGGATGGGGACGTGCCACTCATCTGGCTGCTGCTCGTCTGACAGGTGCAGGCTGTTGTGGCTCTGCTCCTCGGACCAGTGCGTGCTGCGCAGGGCTGCTGTTCCTCAGACGTGGGTGGTCTGCTTGTGTGGCTGCTGCTCCTCGGACCGGGGTGTGCTGCTGCTGCTCCTCGAATGGGGCCAGGCCACTCGCAGAACTGCTGCTCCTCAGATTGGGCAGGCTGTTTGTGCAGCTCCTGCTCCTCGGACTAGTGCAGGGTGTGCGCAGCTGCTGCTCCTCGGATAGGGGCAGGCTGCGCAGGGCTGCTGCTCCTCAGATGTAGGAAGACTGCTCGTGCGGCTGCTGCTCCTCGAACAGGTCGGACTGCCCGCGTGGTTGCTCCTCCTCGGACGGGGAAGCGGGCAGCTCACACAGCTGCTGCTCCTTGGACAGGGGCAGGCCACATGAGGCTCTTAGGCTTGAGGCAGGCTGCCCATGGGGCTGATGCTCCCTGGACAAGAGCGCACCGCTCACATGTCTGCTGCTCATGTGGTTGAAAAAATAATGTGAAAAGAAGTAGGAAATAAAGGAACAAAAAAAAAGGAGAACAAAGAAAAAAGCAAAAAAAGCTAACAAAATAATAATAAAAAAATAAAAATGAAAAATTGAAATGTCGTTCCTTTGGCTGGCTTAAGATCCCAGTTTTCTGGAATGTCTGTGATTCTGTTGTTGTTGTTGCTGGGACTGAAAGGCCCTCTATAGGCCAGACCCTGTTAACTCCCAGGGACTAATCAGATTATTTTAATCCTTCATCTCATTCAGGGTGGAATCTGGGTGTGGCTGTATTCCTTGCCTGGGGCCTAGAGGGAGGGTTTAGCCTCAGAAGAAAATGGCTGCCCAAGTTCTGGGCTCAGGGGTGACTCAGCACTCAATTTGCTGCCACTTCTCCTGGCCCCCCTTCTCTCCCCAGCCTCTCCCCAGATTCCACTCATCCGCACCCTCTTCCGCTCTTCAGCACAGGTGAGTGTCTGTATCCGGAATGTCCTATGAACAGGGTTCAGTGAAAACAAACAAACAAATGCTGGCCGCAGAAATGGGGAAGGCTGAGTCTCTGTAAGCTCCTCTCTTACCGGCACTGCATGGTCTGGTCAACGCTTCAGGCTTCCCCTTTTAGGCTCAGTCCTCCGTAATTACGGAACCCAGATCTCAATTCCTCAGGTGCCAACAGTCCCGCGGATCTCTTTTCCACAGTCAGGGGCTGTGCCTGTCCCAAGAGACGCGGCTGTGTGCTGCTTGGTCTCCCTCTGACCCTCTGGGCTCAGAGATCTGGCAAACTTTCCTGCCCAGATCCCTGGTTTTTACCTTTCCAGGGGAACTCTGCCCTTCCTGGCTGCAAACTGTCTCACCAGCTGAGTATACTTCGCCAATTCGGGGTGGGTGTTATTAGTTTCAGCTGCTCACTCCATTTGCTCCGGGACAAGCCCAGGGACGCGTCTGCCTATTCTGCCGCCATCTTGTCTCCTGCAAAGAATCTTCTTGCTCCTTCTCATCAGCCTGCTTTCCATTAATCATCAGGTCTTAAATGTTACCTGCTCAGGGAGACTGCCCCTGATCATCCTTTATCTGACTAGGTCACAGTAGACTGCCTGTATTGCTCCTTTATGGCACACATCACAATTATAATAAATTATTTGTGTAATGAGTCATTTAATGCCTCTATTTTTCCCTTGCCACCACGCATCTATTTATGTTTTTTCACAGCTATATTCCCCATGCTTAGTACACAGTTGGTAATTTTAAAATATATTGATGGAATAAGTGAAAACCAAAAAAAATAAAATAAAATAAAAAGATAACAACAGAGAATGTTAGACCAGTAGGCATCTTTAGAGGACAGATCACTGTTTCTAACTTCCAATTAACAGATAAGGAAACTGGAGCCTACACAGGTCAAGAAAAATCTCTTAATATGCTGACTGATAGGTCTTTTAAAAGAAAGATTTCTACAGGTACTGTAGTAACAATCCTATACACTTCTCAGAAGAGACCACAGCCTTGCCTGGAGATCTCAGTCCTTAATTTCCCCCCAGTTGAATCAGATAAGTTGTAACAGAACATGGGCAAGCTTAACAGCCTGACTTTATCAATTCATTGTGTAAATAATGCCTGTAGGACATGTGGAAGATTCAGTTTATAAGTTCTCATTTCACTTGTTGTTACTATTCCTGGAGTCATCAGAATGTAGACTTTCCAGGTCACAAAAACAAATATATTTTGACTAGAGGCCCGATGCACAAAATTTGTGCAAGAGTAGGCCTTTGCAGCCCTGGCTGCCTTGGCCTCATGGCCCCGCCCACTGATTGTTCCAGAAGGTTGTTCCGCCATCTGGTCTAATTAGCATATTAGCTCTTTATTATATAGGACAGGACTTCATATTCTTGGCTTCCTTTTCCTTAAGAAACTTTTACTAATATATGCTCTATGATCATCAAGTAATTAAGTAACTAGCAGATGAATTGAGCCCATCTGATTCCTGGTGATATTAGTCTCATTATCACCTGCTCCTTCAAGGTTTATATCTGGTGGGGAAGGAGAAAGCAGTGGAAAAAATAAAGGGAAACCCTACTTTTAGAAGCAAAATGAATTGAAATACCTCAGTGTGAAAGCCTATGGCATTTTGGGCTGTGATCAATGTTTGTTTTTTTCTTCTATGTAGATGTTTCCATTAAACTGAGCATTGCCTTTAGAAGTTGGCAGAAGTGTTTTCCTCCTACAATGGTGTCATTTATGGCTTCTGAAATTAGGAAAAGAAATAGGAAGAAGAAATCTACACAGGCAAAACTATAACAAAAATTGGATCTACAAGATTTAAATAATAATCATGGAAATTAAGCCACAACAAGAATTCCAAAGGAGTATTTGAATCATCTGGAGTGTGAATTTAATACATTGATTCCAGAGCATTGCTCCAAACCTACTAAATAAAATCTTCAGGAATCTCCATGTTTATCAAACATCTCAGGTGATTCTAATTCAAGCGGATCACTGTTTGAGAAACACTGCATTAGAGGACAAATTATATTAACTATATTATTTGGACTAACTCTGTGTCATGATGGCAGATTGGGTTTGACTGACCCGGACATTATTAATTGCAAGGCAACCATGATAAGGTAGAAGGATGCCTAACCCTGGACTCAGATAACGTTACTAAGTCTTGACTACCAACCATGTGACCTCAGTCAAGTTAATTATCCAATCTAGGCCTTAATCTATTTGCATGTAAAATAAGAATATTTAGGCTACCTTGAAGTAATTGAAGATATCAAATGAGGTAGTATATGTAAATATGCTTTGTAAATTTTAAGCCACTATGGAGAAAATGCTCATTATTAATGAGCTAGTTATAGCACTCCGTGGTTAATAATATCTCAGGCCTCTCTTTTCCTGGATGTTTGGTTAGTTGTTAAGCATTCTATGCATAATGGATTGGTCTCTAGTATACAGCAAAAATACAAAAAAATTATTTTGTGCTATGTTACCCACTGTGGGTGTTAGTCATTTATTTGTTTTTAGGGTGTAGATCATTTATTTATTTTATTATCTGATTATATAATAAATATTACAAAAGTAATTAATTTTATGGAAAGAAAAACTATGATCAGTTTTCGTTAGCAGGTTGTGGAACCTCCTTCCAGTGTAATGTCCATTTCTTTCTATGACCTATGTCAGGGAGATCAATCTGCTTTCCATAAGGGAATGTTGTGCAGAATCATGCTTTTTATCTGCAGAAAGAAATTTAGCAATCTGTCAAACCAGATTCCATAGAAATACAATCTACTGTTGTCATTATGAGGAGTGCAGTGTTTCAGAGATTATCAGTTGTACTTTACTTAGCTCACTGGAATCCATCAAAATATTCTGGTAGAGGGTTCCTTTCATATTTGGAAAAGGGGAATAGAATATATGTGAGTATTGACTATAAATGACAAAACACTCATATAGAGTAGGAAATCCTACTCTTCTCTCCACTTTTTCTGTACAAGAAGATACTTGTCTCTATTTTGCTTTCTTTTTTCTCTTAATGAGGCAGCAATTAATACAGAAAGCAAATAAAATATTATAATAGTTAAAGCAAATGTCTAAATCACTGGCATTTGCTTAGGGAAAAATGTCTCCTGAAAGATGGGCTGAAACTAGATATGTTTGACCCCAAATATTTTATTTTTACCCATTTATTATTCAATCCACTTACTTTGGGGAAGGAATCTGATTGCTCCTTGCAAGGTTCTTTTTTTTTCTTTTTTCTTTTTTTTTCCACTTAGCCAATGGTTTATTTTGTCTTCAGAAAGTTGAAACTTCTTTGTGCGAATCCATGGGAATTGAGGGGTCCCCACAGTAAAGCTTGTTTTTAAATCTTTCTAATTTGGAGACAAGGAAAGTATCTATTCCATTACAAAACATTTTCTGTCAATCATTTATGGTTGAACTACTTTTAGAGTGCTTGATGGGTGGGGATATATTTTATTTTCCATCCTTTCCTAATATTCATTATTCATAAATGGACATTTTTGAAGAGATATCATTAGCTTTCAGATGCTGTGAAGAAAAAAAAATGAAGACTATCCTGAATCTTCTTGCTTTTGACCTTCCTCACCACTTTCAATTACAGTGGGGCCTTGATTTACGAGTGTCCAGACTAACGAGTTTTTCGAGATACGAGCCATCTCTTGGCCGATTTTTTGCTTTGAGTTGCGAGCTAAAATTTGGGTTACAAGCCAGCTTCAGATACCCCACCGCTAGTTGGCGCAGCGAACGTCACAGTGAATGCCACAACATCAGCCCAGCATCACATGTCTCACTCGTTCACTTTTGATTTGACATACGAGTAATTTGAGTTACGAGCTCCATCACGGAAAGAATTAAACTCGTAAGTCAAGGCCCCACTGTATTTTGTCATCCTTAATGCCTGACAGATGGGGTGCGCACCAGAAACATAGGGTATGCCTTTAATGCTTTTTTTCCCCACATGGTTTAATGGAAATATTACTAATTTTCACTTTTTCCCTATCATCTTCAAAGCCAGCTCTGTTAGAGTTATTTGCTTGCAAAGAATCTGAATGCACAGAGCCAGGTTGCAGTTGGGTTTAGGGGGTGCCAAATTATAAGGGGTACTAAACATTCCTGAAAAGTTAATGAAGTGGATAAGTCCTCTCAAGAAGAGCCTGGTATTAGCAAGAATAAATAATGTCCACTTGAATAGATAAGTGAGGAGGAGACCCTATGCCTGAAGAGCAATTCATGGTTGATAAATTCTGAGGCATACAGGTCTGGTTAGAGGCATGCCTGTTTTGTTGAAGAGGTATACAATTTGGGCCAGATGTGAATTGCTAAGTACATAGGGGAAAAGTGGTTTGTCTTCATTGAGGATTTCCTTTGTATCCCTTTTAGTAGGCAGGTGTTTCTCAAAATAAATGTACAGATAAATATTTCAAGGACCTGTGTGGGGCATCACATCATTAGAATAAGAATTGGTCCAATGCTGAATGCACTCTATCTCCATTCCTGGATTGAAAGTAGTTGTCATGAGCAGGCTGTTTATCTCTAGGCCTGAAGATGAGTCCAAGAGTGTAGTGAGCTAAAGAAGAAAAACACTCTTTCAATATCCAAAAAACTGTTAAGAATCACTGATTTCCTAGGACATTAGAATGGGGCTCTCCTGAGAAGAAATAAGAGTGGTAATTTTTCAAACTCTGCCAAAGGCTGGGTCACCTACACATCAGTATGTTATTTCTGCTTTGTCCCTGGTACCCACCTGCTTTGGATGCCAATTTATTCTTCTGAACTCCTGCTCTGATAGGAAGGTGGTCTCTGTGTTAGATTGTTTTTAAATTAATAGACTTTATTTCTTAGAGAAGCATTAGGTTTATGGAAAATTTGAGCAGAAAGTACAGAGTTCCCATATACTACTGCTCTCTCCCCCCACAAGTTTCTCTTATTATTGATATCTTGCTTTGGTGTGCCACATTTATTACAATTGATGAAACAATATTGGAATGTTATTATAAATTAAAGTTCATAGCTTATATCAGTGGTTCTCAACCTTCCTAATGCCGCAACCCTTTAATACAGTTCCTCATGTTGTGGTGACCTCCAATTTCATTGTTACAAATTGAACATAATTAAAGCATAGTGATTAATCACAAAAACAATATGTAATTATATATGTGTTTTCCGATGGTCTTAGGTGACCCCTGTGAAAGGGTTGTTCGACCCCCAAAGGGATCGCGACCCACAGGTTGAGAACCGCTGGCTTATATTATGGTTCATTCTTTGTATTTTACAGTTCTATGGCTAATATATAATATCATCTATCCACAATTACATTATCATACAGAGTAGTTTCACTGGCAACCATTGATCTTGTGAGTGTCTCTATAGTTTTGACTTTCCTCAGAATGTCATATTGTTGGAATCATACAGTATGTAGACTTTTCCTACTTGCTTTTTTAAATTATCAATATGCATTTAAGTTTCCTCTATGTCTTTTTGTGACTTGATATCTCTCTTTATTTTGTTGCTGAGATAAGAGCAATTAACATAAGATTTACCCGCTTACCAATTTTTTGATTAAATTGACATTTTAAGTGTATGATACAGTATCTTTGTTTTTAAGCAAAGAGAGAGAAAAGGATGAAAGAACTCTAAAAGACAGTAAGAATATCTTTAAACTTCTCTGGAGATGAAGGAAAGTCTGCATTCATTTTGCTAGTTTTCTTGGTTTTATTGTTGGGTACAAAGGACTGTTTCTATTTAGTTGTCGTATCATGTTTAGTGCAAAAGTAGTAGTGATACTTAAAGTTACCATGCCTACTTCTAAGCTTCTGTATGGAATATATACTTTAGACCAAAACTTTGTGTCACACTGTACTTGCTGCAAAATGTGATATCTTTTTCATTAAATTCATTTTCCTAATATCTCTAATGTGTTCCAAGTTATTTCTGACTACTTGAAGATTGATTGTATGTCGCCTATTCCTCCTGTTTTCATACTTATTTGTCTTTGGAGAAAAGTATATCTGCTAAATTGACATTCAGATTGGATGATTGTCTGGATTCTATTTCCAAGGCTAGAATGATATTGAGCAACTCTTTTTGATACTCAGCTACTGAATGTAACCTCATTTGGGGGTTTTGGTCACTTATCTTCCTGTAAATGTGAATCCTGATACCATCACTCTCTTTGCCCTCCCCTCAATAAATCATGGATAAGGACTGGGGAAGGGACCAAAAGTGACATTTATTGAGTACATACTATGCATCAGGTGCTTTGCAAATTGTGACATAATTTGTTAGCTGAGTTTAAAAAAGACAACAGCACAAAAAAGACATGAGTCTCAGAGAGGTTAAGTAATTTGCCCAAATTTACCCAACTATTGTGTATTAGAGCCTCACATTTAGCTCCCCAATTCAGATCCCAAAGCCCATGCTTTTTGTACTTCACCAAACTGCACCCCAGATAAAAATTCTGTGTTTTTCATGAGCTAGAGACTTGCTTCTCAAAATGTGATTCATGAACTACCAGCATTAGCATTACCTGGGAGCTTGTTGAAAATGAATATTGGGCCACAACCTATATCCACTGAATCTGAGTATTTGTTATAACAAGACCTTAGTTGATTTGCAAATGCAATAAACTTTAAGAAGCATTAGTGTAGAGAATATTTCAGAATGGGCCTTGAGATTTAAAGTATCTTATACTTAAGAATTGGTACTTGTTAGTTAATGTGACTATTGGCCTAAGACACCCCATTTACCAGTCTCTTCATTTTTTTTCTTTATATTTTTCCATCAACAAGTCTCTTTTTTGGCCACTTTATTCCCTTCACTTTTTATTTCTTCTCGTAAACGCATGTCTGACGACTATCATTCTTTATTTCCTCTGTTCTCCTGTTAGTATCCTAAAGACATTCCCTGGGCATGTAGTCTGACCTTGTTTCAGATTACATGCAATGAAGAACTGGATATTTTTATTCTAGATGAGTTTTCAAACCTTAATCCAATGAGGACCAACTAAATCTAGAAGCAGTCTCCTCTAAACCTGAGAAAATAGAGCCCCTCAAAGCTTTATTATATTACTAGAGGCCGGTGCACAAAAAATTTGTGCACTCGGGGGGGGGGGGGGGGGCCCTCCGCCCGGCCCGGG